TGTCGTTCGCTGTTATTTGTTAACGACCGGTAATACTAGTACGTAACGTCAAAGTAAAAGGCTGCAATGTTGAGTATGTTGATTACTCATGCCAAATGGCTCACTTTGCGAGATGGAAGTGCGAATTAAATTTGATTGAGAGGGGTTTTAGTGCTTATAAAAGTCGCTGATTTATAATAATCAAATAAAAAGTTTATTATGGCTAAAATTGTGCATTATTAGCTGGTTTTTTCGTGGCTGTACAAGTTTTTTTCATTTTTGAAACTGCGCGTAATCGCTTCTCCTTTTTGCTAGCCTGTCCCGTGATTGCTAATTACAAGGAGATAATAGCAAGAGCTTTTTGTCGTAGCGTTGATTTGCTGAAACAACCCATAATTATTAATTATCGGGCATATAATAAAGTAGACACTCATATTACTCCTTTTTTTATGTTTTGTATCCTACCAGGAAGTAGGGGATTTTCTAATTTGAACGATACTTTTTTCTTGTTCATAATGCGTGGTTGGTTTCGAATCAGGAAGTAGGGATTCAATAGCTTGAATGATTTGTTCTTTTTTGTTCATCAATAGCCTGAATGGTCTGTTTTTTGTTCATAATTCAGTGTGCTGCTGATTATTGACCCAAAGTCCCAAAATAACAAGGGGATGGGGAAATTTCAGCGTCTATCTATACCCACTGTTACTTACATCAGTAATACTAAATAAGAAAGAGCTTAGGCGCAAAAAAAACATTGTTGTCAAAAGAGATTTTGTGCAGTTACAGCAACTGCAACAAAATGAACGTGCATCGATGCGTGCTGAAGCTGGACAACGACGGAATGTTGCGAATCGACGACGGAATGATTCTATGAACAGCACGCAAAGTGAATATGTACCGCAGTATTACGTAAGTATTGTGAATCATCTTCGCGTTTTTTGGTCATTGGGCTCTCCCCAGCATTCGGCTAGGCGGATTCATATACCAGGGCCTGTAAACCCGCCTCATATAAGTTTTCTACAGTTCTTACATTATTCTGTCCTGTGGCCGTATTCATGAACGTTACCCAATGTGTAAGCTTACCCAGTAGGTAGGCTTTACCCTGATACCGGTATTCACGAAACTGCGGGGTAAGAGTACCCAGCAGTGCTTTTCGTGGATATCGATTCAACCCAGTGGCATTGTTTGGCACTGCTTTCACTTACCCACTGGGTAGGCTTACCTACTGGGTAACGTTCATGAATACGGCCATAGATGACACTGCTTTGAGGTAGGCCTCTGCAATCAAAATGTACCCTGCAGGTAGTATAGCCGGACCGGAGAACTAAAGAAA